ATGTATGTATGTATGTATGTATGTATGTATGTATGTATGTATGTATGTATGTATGCATATACCCCTTTTCTCCCCACACAGACTGGTGGAGAAGACCAGCCACAAGAACAAGATGTCTGGCGCGATGAAGGCGCTGTTGGTTGTTCTGCTCCTTGCTCTCGTCGCTGTGGTGGTGCTGGCTGTGGTCATCGTACTGATCAAGGACGACGACGACAAAGAGGTCATCAATGTCACACCAGATACGAATACAGGCGACAAGACTGATGAAGAGAAACTACCAAAAGAAAGTAAGATTAGTTTTCTTCGGTTCATCTATACATATTTGTGAAAGCTCGTCACTTTGGCAGCCTAAAACTTCCCAGCTACTGAACTTTCGAGTTCGACAAAACTAACGGTGGTTCAGAATCATTTCAAGGGTGCACAGTTATAATATGGAGTCTGAAGTCACTGTAGTTTAATTTTAAGTTTTTCGTTAGTTTCGTTTAGATCTAATCTCGAGAAAGTTCGTCTTCTTAGACGCCATTGTAAACAAGTGAGAGTTCCGTTTACAAACAGTGCATACTGGTTCCACAATGACTTGACGATCGATTCTTGAGTCCGTTCATCGAACGTGGTACCAGAGAGGTGGTACCCAACTCGTTTTAAATAATTGTTATCTAACCACCGGCATGGCATAAATGCTGCCGATTAAAGGGGCAAAAGACTGTGTTACTGTTACTATGATAGATGACTGAAAAAATCTTCTTTTTGATCCCTCCCCCTCCTTCCCAAAATGAAAAAATAAAAAAGTAGATAATGCAAGTTAGTTTAACTAGTAGTTTCTTTCCTTGCACAGAGTTTTAGGCCTCGGAAGGAAATGGACATATGCAATATATTGTTGCCTCTTGTATTCTCGTCAGTATGTTAGTGTTTTAGCGCCCGTAAATGACAACTTGCACTGTATGCTTCCCAGGAAATTGAGTTTGTTTCAGAATGCTCTCAGGTCTGCTGGGGTAATAGTATAGATTCTGAAGCGCATAGAGCTTGCTGTTGAGCGTTATACAAATGCAATCTATTATTATTATTATTATCATTATTATTATTATTTTCCTCACACCACAGCAGTCTACCGTTGAAAATACCTTTCAGCGTCGTCCTTTGAATAATTCTGTATGGCATGTGTACGTCGTCTTAAATACTTAGCACCCATCTGTCTGTCAGACGTATTTGGGTTCTACACTTGTGTTCAAATATGATTTTGACAGCGGCCGTCAGCGTCTATTTTGATTTGACACGTGAAGTGCCTGCTTGTTTGGTTCTTATTGAAAGCATAAACTCAAAAGAGCGCATTCATGTCTTGCTAAGCGGGACATACAATAACATATTATGATCCTATATCTAGTCACGTGATCCCGACCAGCCACCAAAATAAAAGACCAAATCAGCCTCTAGTGGACGATATCGCACATACTAGTAAGATCTGAACTAAACAGAAATACCAGCCTTACTCGGAGCTGGTAGTAACTAAGAAAATCAGAACTAGACACGTTTTTTGTTGTTGATAGTTTTTTTGCGGGGTGGAGGGGTGGGGTGGAGGGTTACACTGTAAATTCTTCACCAAGCTGCTGCAAATCAAAACAGTTATAAAAAGATGATTTTAATCCCTGTGAATAATTCAATAACTACAAAAATAAGAGTTCTTAAAGACTAAATGTGGTCAGCAGTTCCATACGGCTATGAATGTTGGACAACCAAAACCAGCGAAAATGAAAAAAAGCAACAGAAATATGGTTTCTGCGGAGAATTTCTTGGAAAGAAAAGACATAATAATAGATAATAGATAGCATTTGTATAGCGCAAATCCCCGCTCGACAGCAAGCTCTATGCGCTTCTCAATCTATACTACATCAAATATAACAGTACTGAAATAAGCCCAAGTGGGACGCTCACTGATTTTTAAAAGCAATAAGAAGAAATAATAAATAGTTTCTGGGACATTTGAATTGACATAAATGCATGCAACGTCTTGTTTCACGGACAATAAAAAAGAAGAAAAAGAGGGAGAGGAAGACACAGAGCAACCAATTTGGAAAACATTAACAGATCGGGGACGGGGAAAGACTAGGATAACAATAATAGTACTGTATAGTATTTTATAGCAACTGAGTGCATGAAGAAGTGACAAACTAAAACCACCAAAGTCTGTTTCTATAGTCTCGCTGGCTATGATAGTGAAGTTGATAAGAAGCTGTATCAACTAAACATACATGGTATTCAATATTATACATACTGTATAATGTAATCCATCGCCCCTGCAGGTGGGGGGGGGCATAGTTTTATTATTGGGCAGCAAAGAAAACACCTGCCGTGATGTTGCGGGCGTTAAGAGGCGACTAAAGGTGCATAGCTCTCTCTCTCTCTCTCTCTCTCTCTCTCTCTCTCTC